AAAGGATTAATAAAATTTTCCTGGCTTTTTTTTTGTGTGTGAGTGAAAGCTGAACGTGAGTCTGTTGGAAATAGAGGCAGATACAGTTCAGTCTCTTGCTGTTCGCTGTTTCCCCGTTACAGAGAGCAGAGCAAGCGCTAGCTAATGTCGCCGGCCATACTGTGTAAGCCGCTATTTTTCATCTTTGAGAATTGGTAATGCAAAAGATATCTATGGTTTAAGCTGACAAAGATTCCTTTTGTGTGAATTAAATTAAAGAAATACTAGAAAATTGAAAGTATGAGCAGAAGTGGAAATTCTTCTACCCAGTTCCTTCTAAGTAGAGTGTATGTGGGTTTATTACCCACTGGCAACTGGCTAGTAGAAATCTTCAGAGCCTCATGTTGATGACTACTGTGGGCCTTAGAAATGTGATCAGCTACTGATATCACAAATCGGTTGCTGTTGTTAGCTGCCTTCAAATCATCCCCCAACCCAGCCCAACTTATCATGGCCTCATACACAGCAAAAGCAGACTCGTGTGATCCACAGGGCTTTTATCAGCTGAGTTTTGAAAGCAATTGCCAGAACTTCCGCCTAGTCTTCTAAGTCTGGATGCTCTCTTGAGACCTGCTAAGCATCACAAAAATGCATAAGCTCTACTGTGAGTGGATATGCATGGATGGAGAATTAAACCTGGGTATTCCACATGAAAGGCAGGAATTCTACCACTAAACAACATTACAAATATAACACTCAATATATACTTTATGGATAAAAGATGGTCAAAAAACACTGAGGTTGAAACAGAAGCCATAGCAGAGACAGCTTATTGTACATAATTCCCCTGACTGATATATCTAAGATGATGATATAGTAGAGATAAATGGCTATAACTTCAGAGATTATATTAATATTGAGAAATTATGAAAAACTTATAGTAACGCAGAGTGAAAAGGAATAGATATGCTGTTTATTTTCACTCCCAGAATTTGAAGTGAAGCTTTCAGGCTTTCTCAAAGAGTAGGTAGTGCAAGGAATATAGAAAACGTAGGCAAATTCCTTTCTTTGATTTGTGTCTCTTGTTTGGTAAACGGGAAATCAGTCACACATTGAATATCTTTCTCAGACACAAATCTGAATTAAATGTAATGCACTCCACGCTTATGGATTTTTATGGATTATATAGTGTAACTTAAAAAACTGATAGTGATAAAAAAAACATACGCATAATTACAAGTAGTGATTAGGGCGACAGGAGAGGAGGCCTGGTGGTGCAGTGAGTTAAAAGTTGGGCTTCTAACCTTAAGGTCATTTGTTCAAAAGCAATAGTCACCTCACAGGGGGAAAAATGAGGCTGTCTACGTGCATCAAGAGCTACCGGCTCAGAAACCCACAGAGCCTGTTTTACCTTGTCCTATAGGGTTACTATGAGTTGGAATCGGCTTAATGGCAGTGAAAAGAATCGTGGGAGACTAGGTTTGTTTTCTTTTCCCCTGCAGTGTAGTCAGGAAAAACTTACCTGTGGAGGTCAATTTTGAACTGAGAGTTGAATGATAAAAACAACCCACCCAAACAATATTCTGTAGAAATAACACCCCTGACACATAAACCAGAGCAAGTGCAAAGACCCTAAGGAAGAAATAAGTTTGACGTGGTTGGGGGTTATTAATAAAATCTGAATGACCAGAGCATGATCTAGGGCATTAATATAATTTATACTTAATATAAGTGCAGGGGGAAATCATTAAAAGATTTTAAGTCACATGTGGCATAAACGTGTGTGTGTGTGTGTGTGTGTGTGTGTGTGTGTTTAAAATTTACTTTGGTTATTAAAAGCAAAGATAGTATACGGAATTAGAACTAAGGAGACCATGTAGTAAGTTATTATAGTAAGTAATTTATATGATAAATAACTGTGACTTGCATTTGGAAGTTAAGCAACTTTTGAAAAATGAATTCTACATATTGTGGAGGTAAAGCTGACAGGTCTTGCTGACTGGTCTGTAAGAAGGAGGGTCTTGAAGGAAAACAATGTGTAAACACTTTGAAGAAAGCTGAAACGGCAAGCGTTTGTTATCTATATATTCACCACAATAAGTGAAAAATTAGAAAACAGTCTTCTGGCAAGATGGCACTCAGGTAAGCAGCTCCCACTGGAAGTTCCATAGCAACTGGTGAGTTTGGGACCAGAAGGCCGAGTGGAGAATTCAGATTAAAAATTAACCCCCACAGCAAGCCGGAGCTCATCCATTTAGATTCCCTCAGGGGTTCGGTGGCCTAGTCCCAGGGATGTCACAGCCTGCACTGGTGGAGCTGCTGCAGGACCTGCCGCAGCCAACACCTGCCAGTCGCCCCCCACCCCCATGGCCTGCCCCTCGAATACAGAGCCTGCCAGATGCCCTAATGAAATTCTTTTTTTTTTCTGTTGACAGTGTGATCATATATATATTTTAATCACTTTATTAGGGGCTCATACAACTCTTATCACAATCCATACATACATCGATTATGTAAAGCGCATTTGCCTAATGAAATTCTTGCAGCCATGGCTGGACCTCCATACAGCTGCCAGCCACACTTGGCTCTCGCTGCTATGCCTGCCTGGCACCCTCCCGCCAATCCCACATGGCTTTTCCCGCTACAATTGGCACCTTCTGCCATTTGTTCAGGGCTTCCCTGGCAACAAATGGATCCCATCCATCATTCGCCCACAGCTTTTCCCACCATGAGCAGTCCCCTTATCTATGTCCAGCAGTGGCTTCTACCACCATGCCCAGGATCCACCCCCCACCACCATCCACCCACAGCTCTAGCAGGCTGCCCACCATCGACCCATGGCAATTCCCACTGCAGACGTTTCCCCACACACATACACACTACAAACCCACGGCTATACCTACTGCAGCTGGAACTCCCCAGCCCCCACTCCCTGTCACACCCCATGGCTCTGGCGGCTGCCTGTGTGCCTCACTTACTCTCTGACAACAGCCCATGCTGTTGCAGTCAGAGCCCACCAGCCATCTGGGTGCAGCTTTGGCAGTCACAAACAGAGAACTCCAGGAACTTACTCAGAGTCCATCCATGACTCTTAACTTCAGATTCATCCATAGGGTCTGACTGCAGCTCTTGATGCTGGAGCCAGGCTTCAGCTCCGTCGACCACCAGATCCTCCTGTCGGACTGCACTCAGCCTCTTGGTGGCACCATTAGGTTGCCACATGACCTGGACCACAGTTCCCCTGCTGCTCTGGACTGGGCCTGCTGCTTTACCACTGGCCCACCCCAGACCAGTGGCCTGCTTACAGCCACCATCCTGCGCCCATCCTCCAACGCCAACCCACTGTTGCCAGCCACCAAGTCACCATGGAACTTTGCCTGATTGGTCTGCACAGTGCCACCCTGGCTGCCCACATCCACCTGACCCCTATTACCCGAGAGGGCAATCCAAATTTCCCTCCAAAAAAGGAAACCCCAACTGACTGGGGAGAGCATGAAACCCCAGTGAAATAAATCAGTAGCCTGAACTCCCAGCACAGTTGACCACAGGTAGTCCTCAGAAACATTCTTACCAGACTCACAGAGAGAAAGCTCAGGGCTTTGTGACTCCTGGGAAAATGCCACTGAGCTCCTCCAAAGCGCCACACAGACAACAATCTGCCTCAAAAAGAAAACAAGAGAAACAAAATGAAATGTACAGAAGTTCTGAACCTAACAATGTTCACAGAAGCAAAAACTGATTTGCCACAAAAAGAAATCTTCAGAATGCTGCTTGGAGTGATACAGGATATGACGGAAGCAATACGGAAAAGGGATGAAATAGTACAGGAGATAAAGTTCCTCACACCAAAAGGAATTACAAGAATTAAGGAATGTAGTAACAGAAGCAAAGACTAAGATAACAGACCTCACCAACAGACTAGAAAAAGTCAGTAGTCTACACAGCCCTGAGCTTTCTCTCTGTGGGTCTGGTAAGAAAGTTTCTGAGGACTACCTGTGGCCAACTGTGCTGGGAGTTCAGGTTACTGATTTATTTTTACTAGGAGAACTGTACCAGTGATCTTGAGGACAACCAGACAGACTTCAACAAACGGAAAAGACAGTCAAACAAGATCATCAAAGAAGCTGAAGAAACTCGAGAATAATGAACAATGCTATGAAGAAGAACAATATTCAAATAATTGAAATTCCAGAACAAGACATGACAAAGAAGTCAACAGCAAATGTAGCAAGGGAAATCCTGGAAGAAAATTTCCCCAACTTGATGAATGAGAATCAGACAATCAAACAAGAATAAGAGAGAACACCAATTACACTAAATCCCAGGAAAAACTAATCAAGGCACATTATAGTTAAATTATCCAACACTGAGGAAAAGGAGAAAATCATAAGGGCAGCTAAAGAAAAAAAGGTAGTCACACATAAAGGTACTCAGATAAGAACATGCTCAGACCTATCAGCAGATACTATGAAGAAAAGGAGAGAGTGGGGTTACATCTTTCGAAAGTTGAAAGAGAATAATACCAATCCGAGAATCCTCTATCTCACCAAACTATCTATCAAGATAGATGAAGAGGTAAGTCTTCCCAGACAAGGAAAAACTCTAAGAATACGTCAAAAGAAGCCCAGCTTTGCAAATTAAAAAAAAAAAATCTTCCTGAATCACTATGAGCAGAAGACCAACATTCATGGAGCAAAAATAGGAGACCACTACATAGCACAACTCCACCCAGATATCATTGCCTCAGTGGTGAAGAGAAGGCAAGAATGAAACCCACACACATACTTGGCACACTGATATGGAGGGAGGGAGGAAAACACGCAACACATATAGTAAGAGATGCCAACAAAGAATCCACAGATGGATGTGATCACTTTGAGTGTCAATGGTCTGAATTCACCAATTAA